GTTGGAACCTTGTGAAATTCACACCCATAAGCAAAGTCAAATCAGGACAGGCTATCCATAAAGTCAGCAGCAATATGCACCAGTTCACAGGCTCATTATCTTCTCTTTATCTGGTCAAGTTCTGGTAAATTCAATGTGAGCTGTCTCACTTAGCCTCACCAGGCTGTCCATTGGTTGCCTTGCCTTTTGACCATGGCCCCATCACAAATTCTCAACAACCCTATCCCCCTTGTGCTAGGTCATGAACTTCAAACCAGTCAACCCGCTCCCATCTTCTCCTCTAGTTCCTGTAAACCAAGTCAATAGGTATCAGTGGCCAGACTCAACCCTTCTCTTTATTGCTGCTGCATTTCTCCCATTTCCACTCAAGCGGATCCAGATGGTCACCTAGCAAGTATTTCAGCCTGCCCACAAGCTCCTTTTAACGTTTTGTCCTAGAAAGGAGTTTTCTTCATGGTTCCAGATTTTTTTCCCAGCTTCTGACAAAAACCACTCATTCAAACATCAAAACACCAAAGAGTTCCTTTTTCTCCAATCTGTCAATTTTGCCCCTAGGCAGGTCTCTTGGAACGCAAATGTCCTGAGTATTCCAAAGCACTGAGCGGGGCTTATCCTTTGTCTTCTTTGAAGGCCTGTCCTAAACCCATCATCCATCTAAAGATCAAATTTTAATGGCTCAAAGCAAGTGGGTTTACAAGCTCTCTATTTTCATACTTTCCCAAATCATTTCTATAAATCCTTACTATCCACAATAATAAGCACAAGAAATCAGTATAAAGTAGAACCATATACTAAACTCAATTCTTAAAACAGTCAAGTTCAATCCTTATTTAGTTTATCTTAATCTTTATCTGAACTATTCTATTGATACAAAATATGGAATTAGGCCTCTGAGAGTATCAAACCAGATCTAGGCTTTCTGTCAGCCATTTTGACTTTTTGTCAACCATTTTCCTTAAGCAGCATGGTTTCTGAGAAGTTCAAATGGTGATTTCTACCCCTGAGCTCAAATATATACATTAACAACATTCATTTTTCCCATTTCACACAGGAATAATCAAAGACTACAACCAAACTAAATAATCAAAACTTTTTAACTTCCCATATTTTTTCCAGAAAAAACAACCCAGTAAACTGAATTGCCATATTCTGACTTCTGGCTAGCCAAAGAAGAAACACTACCATGAGTGAGAAGTCAAGCAAACATCTACTCTCCATATTTATGAATTGTTTCTCTAGTAGCCCACTCCCAAGTTACCATAATGTTAGTCTGGGTAGACTAAACAACTTCATAGATACTCATATGTATATAATTGACTATTGTGAAAACGTCCCAGCCCAGTCCACATCAAGTCCATAAGTCCGATATTAGCCCATATGTCTGATACCAATCTATAAAGTCTTCTTCAGACAGTTCCAAGAATTCTCAGGAGACAGCCATGCCTACTCAGAAACCTCATTGGCTATGACCTGGTTGAGAGACTAGACTCCACTCCTTCACTCTTATTCCTCATAAATCCCAAATTGACACCAGATTATGTAACTACCACAGTTAGCTTTGTTTGTAATATACATTATGGTATCTAATTCCGCTGACAGAAGGCATGGTGGCATAGTGGTTATATTGCTAACTGAAAGGTCAGCAGTGTGAAACCATATGCCATTCCACAGAAGATGGGGCTTTCTACTCCCAGTCTTAGAAAATCTCAGGGGCAGTTCTACCCTGTCGTATAGGACCGCAGTTAGCCCTGACTAGATGGCAGCAAGTTTGGGTTTGGTTTAATTCCACTGAAGTGGACAACCAGCCTATTCCTTCATAACCTGTTTTCAGTCTGGAAGCTCTGCTGACACTTCACTTTGGGTCACCCTGCCCATTCAGCATCAAAGCAACCCACAAGCCATCATGCCCTGGCAGACTAGGAATGTCAAAAGACTTCATCATTTTCTGTATAGGAGTGATTGGGGGAGAGTAATATAGCAACTATCGTGGAACTATCTTGAAACTGCCCTTATATGAAAGTGCCCAGGTCGGTCATGTGCATATTTACTATAGAAAAATCTTATGGTTGATAGTTTCCCTCTTTGGTACCCACTATTCCTTATTATATGAACAGTGATCCGTTTGTCTGGCATAAGAAACTGGAAAACAAGATTACAGCAACTTCTTGAGAAGCTAAGTGGCTCTGAAAAGAGCCTTTGGGTTGACAGAAGTAGAACTTTCAAAGCCTATGCCAGGCCTTAGGCCCGCTCCCCGCGGATGCGACGAGCGAGCTGGATATCCTTGGGCATGATGGTAACTCGCTTAGCATGGATGGCGCATAGGTTGGTGTCTTCAAAGACTCCCACTAGGTAGGCCTCGCACGCCTCCTGTAGCGCCATCACTGCGGAGGTCTGGAAGCGCAGGTCGGTCTTGAAGTCCTGCGCAATTTCACGAACCAGACGCTGGAAGGGTAACCTGCGAATCAACAGCTCGGTAGACTTCTGGTAGCGGCGGATCTCCCGTAGCGCCACGGTGCCTGGGCGGTAGCGGTGTGGCTTCTTGACGCCTCCGGTGGCTGGAGCGCTCTTGCGGGCTACTTTGGTTGCCAGCTGCTTCCGCGGGGCTTTTCCGCCTGTGGACTTCCGCGCAGTTTGCTTAGTGCGAGCCATGGTAATCATCGACGACAGCTCTCTCCCTCAAGGCTGCAGACTGAAGCCTTGACCCGCCTCTATTTATAGAGGCTTCTGCGTCCTGATTGGACGAGGGACCGGTGCGTAAAATCGCGTGATGAAATTCTACAACGTGATTGGTTGGTAGTCCTCCAATAACTTTCCTGCTGTTCTGTGTTCCTCCTGCTGCTGGCGCTTCACCCTTTGTGTGTACCCTTGTAACCAGTATTCAGGCAGAGCACGGAGTGAGGTATGAAATCATCGATCCTCCATTGTCTTTTTCCACACACGCATCTTTCTTGTTAGCACATTCCCCCTCCCCTCTTTACTTTCCTCTCAGTTTGGACCAGGAACCTTCTAGAACCGAATGTTTACACAATCGACCCTTGCTATGTTATTACACAGCACCTCAGCTTCCCCTTCTTACGTCAGGACCAGTGCAGGCTTGCTGGTGGTTCATGAGTGTGGTGCCTACACAGGCGACAGGTTCAAGGCCTTCTTGCACCAGAGACTCGGACAAGTCTCTCCTCCCTCCTGAGTATTGGTAGTGCCGATCTCTGGGTGTCACCAGGACATCCCGGGGTGACGTATCACCCAAGTACTCACCCTGAGCTTCCAGCAGGAGTTGGGGTTGGGAGTGGGTTGTTCGGGAGCTGCATAGGGGTTTTCTGTCTAATGGAACTTGGACTTGAGTCAGCTCTTGGAGGGTGTGAGCCATATCTGAGGCCTCACTTTTCCAGGCAAGATCCCTTTCGTTTTGGGGTGGTTCTCAGAGGTTTCGAGCCGCAGCATTACTTGGAAATAGGGCAGAATGCCAGTTAGCGCTGTCTGAACAATAAAGAACCAGAGACGGCATAAGGGGCACCCCTGCGTGGGATGCTTGGCTACTAGCCAAAAGGTTGGCAGTTTGAATTCACCAAGAGACACTTTGGAACACAGTCCTAATAATCTGCTTCCCAAAGGTCACCGCCTTGAAAACTGCGTGGAGCAGTTCTATTCTACGTACCTGACGTTGTCTTGACCGGGGGTCTAGGACAACTAACAGCAATAGCATGCACCACCCCCGCCATCCACCCCTTCAACCCCCACCTCCCCCAGCAGGACTCACAAGTACTCACCATCTTCAAGTCCATTTCTGACTCAGAGCAACCCTATAGGGCACAAGATAACTGCCTCGGCGGGTTTCAAAGACTGAACCTTCACAGGTGTGGAAAGCCTCTTCTGCAGAGAAGCTGGTAGTTTTGAACTGCTGACCTATGGTTAGCAGACAACGTGCAACCAACCCACTATGCCACCAGTGCTCCTGCCAGCTAACTTTGCTTTCCTGAGCTTTGGTTACATTTTACAAACAAAGCTAAGCGTTCGCTTACCTGAACTCTGGTTAAATTTCCTTCCACTTCGGCCTGCAGGGGAACCAAGGCGAGTGAAGAAAATGTCCCTCAAAAGTCATTTCCCAAAGCAGTATTTCAAGAGCGCCTCAGATACAAATATTCTACTGAAGACACAAACGTGTTTAGAACACATCCATTCTACAGATAAGGTTATGTGTGTTCTGTGCAAGGCTCGGAGCTGCAGCTTCCATGCCATTGTCTGAGGGAAGCGTTCCCCTTCTTGAGCAAAGCTTCTGACATTGTGGGTTGCAACACTGAATGTGGGGTCTTGAAACTTTGGGCAATAGTAAAAGGCTTCTGAATGCCCAGTGACCAAAAATTAATTCAAAATCACAATTAATTTTGAATTATAATGAAGCATAATGAATCTGAGGTGTTTCAGGTATCACTTGCTTGTACTGCAAATTTCACAGGTGAAAAATCGAACATTTTTAACAAGCCCTAGCTTGTTAATAGCTACCATTGCTATTATTGTTTGTTTTACTACTAAGGAAATAAAGAAATGTGTTAGGGTTTTTGAGATTTTAGAGGTATACCACAGTGAAGTGGAAGTACTTGCAATGGCTCTTTTATTCAGTCTTGGTAACTCCCACCCAGTCATTGGGTGGGAACATGCAAATAAGATATAGAGGACTTTCACTCAGGAACTGGGCAGTTTTTTCATTCCTGTGAGTATAAAAGTGACCCGTGTAAGAAGCAGCAACAGAGGAATCCCATGGCCATCAAGAATTAAGAGCCACTCGCTGACTTTGTGAGATTCCAGGCGACAGAGGCACTGAACCAGGAGACAGAGCAGAAGAGCCACAGCGAGACCAGGAGACAATGTGGTGGGCTTCCCAGTGCATGGACAGAGCAAAGCTAAGTTCCTCCGGGCAGGATGCCGACTTGCATCCTGAATAGGGTTGCAGGAGAGGGTTCTCTTTGGACATTTATCAGGACTAAGGAAGCTTTGTGAGACTTGCCTGAGAAGGACAAGGGCTAAAGGGCTAGGTCTGAGAGGTTGAGGATTAGAAGTGCCTGCTTACGTGACTGAGAAAAGGCACTGGTACATGCACAAGGACTGTTCCTTATGTTTTCTCAGCCTCACTTATTAATTTTCCTAACAAATCCCAATAATCATGATTGTTGCATGAGTTCTGTAGGCCATTGCAATAGATTATTGCACGCAGTGAAAAAGCAGAGTGCCACGGAAGGAAGGTCTGGTTGGTGTTAGAATAGAATAAAGGTCTGAGGCCATAGCTGGCTTGTAGCAATTGACCTTAGGCTGGTGTAGAGTTGGATTTGCCCTCCTTGTGTAGCCAGAGGAGGTCAGATATGGACCCCATGTCATTTTCTCACATGCTTTGTGAGAAAATTGGTCTTGTTCACCAATAATTTTCCTGGTTCTTAAAGATGATTCTTAGATGCCCATGCTGTACTCTTTTTTTTTTTTAATTTAAAAACTTTTTTTTCCTTCTTAATGGAGTGACAGCAAGACTTGTCACTTGTGAGCTCCTGTAGAGGTTCTTAGAGGAATAAGTACTCCTTTTGAGTCAAAAGAAACAGTGAGGTGGTGATTGTGAGTTATAGCCTCTCAAAGCCCTAAAACCCTGAACTGAACTCGCAGCCATTGAGTGAATTCTGACTCGTAGTAGCCCTGTGTAGGATTTCAGAGCAAATATATCTTTATGGGAACAGACAGCACATCTCTATCCTGAGTTGCTGCTGGTGGTTTGAACTACCAATCTTGCGGTTAGCAGTTTAATGCTTCAGGCCCTAGAAACTAATATAGTTCTATTAGGATTGGAAGTTATTAGAGGAAAAACCTATTTCTTTATCCAACACAACCTTCTAATGGATACCTCATATCTTTGAATCCCTTTACAATAAAAACAAACAAGAAACACACGCAACAAATGCACCCACAGTGACTGATTGAGTTGATTTTAACTCATAGTGACTCTATAGGAGAGAGTAGAATTACCCAATAGGTGTCCAAGGGTGTAAATCTTTACAGAAGCACACCACCACCTCTTTCCCTTGCTGCACAGCTGATGGTTCGAATTTATAACCTTTGTTACCCGCTCAGCACTTCAACCACATCCCCTCCGGGCTCCTTAGCCTCCTCCAAAGGCGTACTTCTATGACTCTTTCAGTTCTGTCTTCTGGTGCCCTCTTGAATCCTCTCAGCTGACTTTCTTCCTCAGCGTGCCACAGAACTTGACAGGAAGGTCAAGGTTACACAAGACCTCCTAAAGATCACATCGTGCAGTATGTAACACAACTAATTTCTTCCTAAATTTGAAACCATTTTCTTCTCTTTGCTTCTGTGACACCAAGCTTTTGGCTTATCTTCATGTGTGCTATTAAATGTTAAACAACCAACCCCTTGCTGAGCAGATTGCAGCTCATAATGGCCCTGTAGGACATAACAGAACTGCCCCCCTTGAGAACCCTTCAAGGCTGTAAATCTTTATAGAAGTAGACTGTATCTTTCTCCTGAAGCTAGAGGGTGTTGAGTTTGAACTTCCAACCTTTTAATTAGCAACCGAGAGCTTTAACCACCTAACCACCACCAAGACTCCTCTTGCAATCTACTTGGATAATAAAAATCCTATATTTTTCCAGATAAACTTTTTAGGGTTTGTGTTGACTTTATTATGACCTTGATTGTGAAACAAATCAAAGTTATGAAAGATATTTTATGAAGATTTTGAAAACCATATTGTTGTTGTCAGTTGTTGTTGAGTTAGTTCTGACTTATGACAGTCTTGTGGGTGCAGAACAACATAGCTTCATAGAATTTTCAAACTTACTGTCTTTCAGAACCAGATCACCATGATGGGGGGGAGTGCGGAGTGGAGACCCAAAGCCCATCAGTAGGCCACTGGAGATCCCCTTGCAGAGGGGTCTCAGGGAGGAGATGAGCCAGTCAGGGTGTGACGTAACAATGATGAAAAATACAACTTTCCTCTAGTTACTAAATGTTTCCTCTCGGCTTCCACTACCATGACTCGAATTAGACCTTGCAAGTCTGGCTAGACCAGAGGATGTACACTGGTACAGATAGGAACTGAAAATACAGGGAATCCAGGGCGGATGAGCCCTCCAGGACCAGTGGTGAGAGTGGCGAAACAGGGAGGGTAGAGAGAGAGTGGGTAGGAAAGAGGGAACCGGTTACAAGGAACTATATGTGACCTCCTCCCTGGGGGTCGGACAACAGAAAAGTGGGTGAAGGTAGACGTCGAACAGGGCAAGATATGACAAAATAACAATTTATAAACTATCAAGGGCTCATGAGGGAGGAGGGAGCGGGGAGGGAGGGGGAAAATGAGGACCTAATGCCGGGGATTTAAGTGGAGAGCAAATGTTTTGAGAATGATGAGGGCAATGAATGTACAAATGCGCTTTACACAATTGATGTGTGTATGGATTTTGATGAGTTGTATGAGCCCCTAATGAAATGATTAAAAAAAAAAAAAAAAAGAAGCAGATCACCAGGTCTGTCTTCCCTCTGGGTGGGTTTGATCTGCCAACGTTTTGGCTAATAGACCAGTGCGTAACTGTTTGCACTACCCAGGAACTCCTGGGTCTGGAGTGAGCCCAAGTATTTACATTTCTATCAAGTTTCCATGTTTGGCA